GGCGCATCCAGGTTCCCACTTGTGGGAAGGGGAAAGAGAGCATGGGGGTGGTGGGAGGGCACACCTTAAGGCCGAGGACTGGGAGAATCACGCTTCCCTTGCCAGTATATGCCATTGGCAAAAAACTTAATCACACTGAGAGACCTACGTGCAGGAGCATCTGAGACCTAGAGTCTGGCTGTTTGCCCTGGAGGAAGGGGAAAATGAGTGTTGGTGGGCAATTAGCAGTCTCTGCCCTGCCCCTGGGAGCTGAATGGGCAGGTGGTCCTCCTGAGTCATATGGTCTTGAGCATAAGTCGAGAGGACGTTTGTCTCTGTGGGAGGCCCTGGTCCCCGCCCCACACACGTGCTTATTGCCCATCCAGACTGCGGGGCTGGCAGACCACGATGACACACGTTTGCTTGGCCAACTTTGAGGGATCTAAAATGTACTCTACAGTACTCTCTAAAGTGATGCCCAGCCTCCTCCCCTGTGCTGGTGGGTGCCCGTGAGAGACGCATGGCGGCCTCAGGAACCTGCTGGGGGATGGAAGGGTGTGCTAGCCTGGAGTCTCCAAGAAGCAGACGCCAAGAGAGGATTAAGTGTGCAAGGATGTCATTAGGAGACGTGCATGTGGGAAATGAACTAGAAGGAGCCAGTGAAGGCCTGGGGGGACTCAGCAGGGCAGGTCTCGATGCAAGAGTGACCCCGAGAGAAGGCGATAGGGAGAGGTGACCGTGGCAGTCTAAGAAAGCTTCAGCAGACCCACTGGGAAATTCTCGAGCCAAAGTCGACCAAGAAAATAATCGGCGTCTCCTGGGAATGGTTCTGTCCTCATGTCCCCAGCTGTGCACATGGTCATTGGTGGGGAGCAGCTCGTGGGGGCATGGGATGGATGTCAAAGCCAGGGCTGCTCTGCTAAGTATCTCCCCTGTCCCGAGAGGTCTGCAAGGCCCATTCTCACGGCTGCCGTGGGAGGTTACGGTAAGAACTGGGGTTCATACTCTAGACAGAGGATTTGAGAATTCTGAAATTTAAAAAAAAAAAAAATTAGCCTGGGTTGCCACCCTGCTCACCACAGACAAGCTGGGCGGCATTGGGCGAGAAACTAAATCCCTCTGATCCTTATTGGTTTCCTCATCTGTAAAATGCCTGGGAAATGTAATCAGGATGAAAGTCAAGTTCCCACAGGAGGTGCTCGCTAAATGGTGCCCTTTACCCCCTCCCCATTTTGCCAGAGCTCAGTGGGTCTAGGGGCTACTCCACACGTGCTCCCTGAGGAAGGAATCCCAAGTCCACGGCTGATCCCAGTTCCCTGGGACAGCAGCTAACCCCTCCCTCTCAGCCCCACAGCGAGTGGGCCCAGAATCAGCACGGAGTGGGGTGCAGAGGCTAAGCTGGCTTGTAAACCAGTCTGAGAAGCACCCTGATAAATCTCTCTCCCAGGACCAAAGAGAAATATTTACCCCGGCCAGGCCTGGGACGGCCACTTGTTACCTCCTCTGGGCTCCAGCTTGTTTGAAAACTCATCACCCAGGCTAGGACTGTGGGCTGAGGCCCAGGTGGGGAAGGGTAGGAAGGAGGCGTCTCCTTGGACAAGCCTGTAAATCCCAGCGGCAGACGGCAGACGGCTGGGCAGGCTTCCACCCACCCCAGGCACACGCCGGCTCGACAGCTCCCGAGAGGCGCGGTCTCTGGTTTCTCTCCCCCAGTGCCCGTTTTCCAGAGCACTTTCTCAGCCGCCTTCCCTCCTTCCTACTCTCTGTGGGCCCCTCCCCCCACCCGCCTTTCTTCTCTCTCTCCAATGGTGGCCCTGATTCTTCATCTCTTGACACCTCCCGGGGCTCCTGGAGTCTGAGTGTGTAGCTGTCTGTACTTCCCCATCTCTGGAGGTCTCCGAGTCTCCCTGTCTCCCTCAGGGGCCTCATTCCTCTCTGCCTTGCTGGTTCTCATGCTCTCTTGCTCCCTCAGAACCATCTCTCTCCCTCTGGTTCCTCCTCTTCCACCATTTGACCTCCCAGCCCAGCCACCTCCTTGGAGCTGTGTGCTGCCTTGGACCACCTTCAAGCCACAAGGAGCAGCCCAACCCCAAAAGTTCCATAGGGACCTTGGAGGAGCACCCCGATGCCCCATCTGCCCTCCTTCTTCCTCTGTGCACGGCAGACCTGTTCAGAACCAGAGGCCCACAGCACCCCAGACCCAGCCTGCTCCCTCTAACAATACAGCCCCCCAACCTCCTCCCCCTCCCCCAACTGCTCTTGGGGTCACTGCCTCTTCTAAACTTCTTTCTGTATCCAACCCTTAGAGCTCATGGCTAGTTACGGGTGATTCTAAGAAACTGGGACAAAGAGGACATCATTTTTATACCAAAGAGAGGGAAATTGGCTTAATTAGATGTGCAGTATCTATTCAACAGAATTTTATAAAAACCATGATGTAGAGCCATATATACGGGCGTTAAATACAAATCCAGGTAAGCCAAAAGCAGATTAAAAATAGTATTTGGAGCATAAACCCGTTTTATAAAAGAAAAGAAATATGCATAACATCATAATTCACTTCAGGGTGGTGGGAGTATGGGTAACTTGTTTTTTATTGTAATGAACAAATAAAGCCAACCAGGACATAGGCCAGATAGGCACTGATCTTCTTCACTGCCCCTTTATTGATTTTAACCCAACATTTCTGAAGCTCCAACTGGCTGCTCAGCCCTCCCAGCAGCTAAATAGGAACTGGAGCAATCAGATACGCAACAGATCCTAGACAACCCCTGGAGACTGAAGGAGACCCTTCAGGTAGGTCTTCAGCTGGGGTTGGTGCTGAAGGTGAATAGAAGAGGCTCTTGGGGGCAAAGGTACTGGCAGGGGAGCGGTGCCCCGAGGGGAGCTGGGTACCTAGGATCTCAATGTGAAGGGTGTGAACCCCGCCCCCCCAGGAAGCCTTGGGGCACCCACCAATTAAACAGCAGAAACAGGATCCACTGCTCAAGACCTGCAACAAGACAGGGGAGGAGGGTGAGGGACTAGAATGCGGGGGGGGGGGTGTCTCAAACCAGCCTAGCCATGCAGCAGCAGAGGCTGGAATCAAAGCCTGAACTCACTGCTGCCTGGCCAGGCTGTGGCCCTCGAAGTTAAGGGCCTTCTGGCAGGAACCCCCACCACAATGAAACTGTGGCCGTGGACTGCGGCGGCCAGCGTGTTCCCATGGGCTAGGCAGCGCCAAAAACCCGAGCCCCCAAGGCCCTGGGCCCGGCCTCCTCCGTCGGAGCCAGATGGGAGGACATTCTTTCAGGCCCTGTGGGTTCTATTTTTGTTTCTTTGTTTCACTTCCTCGGCTCTCTCGTTTTTCTGCAGTCTAGCGCTACGAGTCCGCGCTAGGAGAGGTGTGGAGTCAAGAGGCAGTTCAGTTGCCCTGCGGGGCCGAGCTGAGTGCAGCACCAGCCCCCACCACCAGAGGGCACCCGAGCACAGAAACTGGCAATCTCGGGAGAGAGGGGTAGCGAAAGCACCCAAGCTCTCCGCGGATCTCTGAACTACTCAGCCTAGGGCCTGGCCACGGTGGGTGAGCTCTGGAGTAATCCTGGGGGGCTTGGCTGGGTGGGGGCCCCAAGTGCGGGGACCTGCCCTCCTCGACCGAACGCTGCTTATTACACAGATCGCCACCTATTGCCAGGTGATAGTGTTAACACTGCCAACCCAGAGGGTTTAGGGTGTAGGCCAGAGAGCGGGGCAGCTAGCTGCTGGAGAGCACCGGAAGGGGACGCGTGTGATGGAAGGAGCACTGGACGCGGAGTCAGGACAGCTGACTGCGCTGCCGCTACGTTCCGTGTGACCTCTCCCTCTCCCGTTTGTTTTCTCATCTGTAAACAGAGGGGGTGGGAAGACTTGGTATCCAAGCGCCCTTCAGGCTCTGACCAAAGACATGCCCCACCCTCCTTGAAAAGGCCTGAAGAGGGCCACGGAGGCTGGAGAAAGGGGACCGAAGAACCGAAACGGCCGCTGTCTGCTTGGGGCAGGGCAGGGGCGCCCGGCACGGCGCTGAGTCAGCACGGGAGACCCGCAGCACTCTGTCGGGTCCCACCACCCAAGTATCCCCGCCCAGGTCTCCCGCTGCTGGCCCGGGCAGCGCCCCACCCGCCGCCTGGAAGGGGCGCCGAGTGAGTGGGATCTTCTGCGGTGAGTGCGGGACGATAACCCGGCCTCCCTGAGAGGTCAACCGCACCAAGGAAAGTTCTCTCCGTCCTCACGGCGCTGACCTTCGCCTCGCGGGCGGCTTCGCTCCATCCCGGACGCTGGCGATGGGGAACAGAGCAGGGAGGCAGGAGCGCTCTAGGCCGGTGTGGATCCACTTGGGGAGGCGGGTAATGGCCCCGGGCACGGCGGGCGCGACCCCGTTCCGGTGATTGAAGCTTGTGGAGTTACCTCCACCCGGGGGTCCCTGGCCCCCAATTCCTGCCACATCCTTCTCCCACCTCCCCCAGTCTCGGGAGCCTGGGCCCCGAAGGTTCAAGAAGTCAAGAGCCTGGAGAAATGCACTGTGCAAATATATTGACTTTATTTGTCTCCGTTCGGGAGCCTCACAGACATATCCAAGTAAAAAGATCGTTAAATAAACGCCGTCAGCCATCGCAATGCAAAAATAAATATCAGTCCTCCGGCCGCAGCAGCAGCTGCGCCCCAAGTCCCATCAGCCGCGCCTAACAATTATAAAAGTGTTCAGCGAGAGTGTGTTGGCGTGAGTGTGAACGGGTGTGCGCTGGGGGGCACGGTGGAGCGGTGTGCAAAATCGGAGTTGCAAACCATCAGACAAGGGCGTGGAGCGGCTCTCGGGGGAGCCCCGGCGACCCAGGGCCGACTCAGCGCGGGCGCGCCTCCCGCACACACTCACGGCAGAGTCCGTACTGGGAAGAGTTAAAAAATAAACATTTACAAGGGCAAAGAAAGCGGCCCCCCTCCCCGGCACCCCCGCGCTCTCCCGCCCGGGACCAGCGCAGCGCTGGGCGCACCGAGCAGCTCGCAGCCCGGCGAGAGGTCCCGGTCCGCGCGGGTCCCCGGGGCGCGGGGTGCGGGGCCCGGACCCTCTGGGGCTTGGTTCGCGGGTCCCCGGGCGGGCGGCGCCCCTCACAGGGCCGAGTCGGAGTCGCTGGAGTCCAGGCTGTTCCTCAGCTTGCAGCTGCTGAGCTGCTCCCTCTGCAGCGACAGGCTCTGCGTGCTGCGGCGCAGGCACTCCAGGCTCTGCAGGAACGACTTCTTGGCTTTCTCCTCCTCCATGGGGGACACCCCTTCCTCCTCCACCTCCTGGATCTCGTCGAAGGTCACCGGCTGCGTCTTGAAGCGGGACTGGCGCGGCCGCCGCAGCCGGCCCTTGCCCTTGGACAGCTTGGCGGGCCGCACGGGCTGCGGGAACTCGTCGGCCAGGCACACGAAGTGCGGCATCACCGCCTGGTAGCTGGAGCAGATGCCCATTAGCTCGCCGGGCTTGGCGGCCGCCATGGCGCTGCCGGCGTCTTCGGGGCCCGGCGGCGGGGCGCCGGGGCTCTCGGGGGGCGGCCGCTGCGCCGGGGCCCCCCGGGAGGCAGCAGCCTGGGGCTCGCCGGGCGGGGGATCCAAATCTGCTGCGGGGTGGCGGCGGCCCTCGCGGGCCCGGGTCGGCGTTCCTCGGGAGGTTGGGCTGGAGGGCCCGTCGGGGGACGCGGGGCTCGGCTGCTGGGCTGCGCTCCCGAGAGCTCGCCGCCGCGTCTGTCACCGTCTGCCCCGCGGCGGCCCGGCCCGCCACTTATATAGCCCGCTCCTGCCCACACGGCCGCGAGCTCGGATGACAGCGAATGCCATTTAAAGCGTGCGCGCCCCGCGCCCTTCCGCCTGACGTCGCCCCGCCGCTCTGGGAAAGTAACGGCCCTTTCCCCAGCGCCGCCCGCCCCCCCGCCCCCAGCCAACCCGGCTCCGGAAGGCAGGCCCCGCCCGCGGGGTTCCGGGAGCATCCGAGGCCCAGGGAGCACGCGGCGGGGCGGGGTGGCCGGAGAGCCGGCGGCGGGGTGGGGGTGGGGGGCTCGGATCGGCCGCCCTGAGGCTGCCACGGTCCGTCCTGGGATCCCCAAGTTCGTACGGACCGTGGTGGCCGTGGCGGCGCAGGTCCCCTTCCCCCTCCCCGATCCCAATGCACACACTCAAGACGCTGGTGATTCCGCGGCGGGTTCTGCGTTGGGCGCGGGATGGAGGCAGCTCCCAGCCCTCCTCCGGCGGGGAGAGCCGGGGCGCCGGGAGAGCCGGGGCACCTGACTCCCCAGAACTGAGTTCGGAGAAAGGGTTGGGTTTCTTCTTTGGATCCTTGTCACCCCTCCGCAGACAAACGCAAATCCATATACACACACAAACACGCACAGAGCCATGCACGAATAAAAACGCACCCCGACTATTCCATCCCGGTTCTTCCCTTCCCTAGCCGCCTTCTCTCCGTCTCCTCACAACCCCACCCCCAAGTCCCTCGGGCACCAGCCCCCTATTCATGCTCAGAAGAATGACACTTGGATAGGCACTAATAACAATGATAATAACTAGAATCTGGAGAGCTTCACTCCAAGCCAGCCAGTGAGCTTCGTTTTACATATATTACCCTACTTAATCTTCCTAACAGCCCCGTGAGGTAATTGGTATTCTCCCAAATTTACATATGAGATAGTGGAGGCACAGAGAGGACAAGTAGCTAGTCCTCTAGGAACGGATAGAACCAGGTGGAGCGGACTGCACAGGGCGCTCTATTATGGTCCCGGCCCGAGGGCTGGTACCCACCTGTGCCCCTAGGGCTTTTAAGAGCAGGTCCCCTGGTTTTCCGGACTCCCAAGAGGGAACTGTGAGCACGGCCCCAGACCCCAGGGGCCTCAAGAGTGGCAGGCACAGGGTGAAGCTCACCCTGCCTCCACCTTCCCCACAGGCACCCAGCTAGGCTCACAGGGCCACGGGAATGAAGGGAATCGATGGGATTTGGCCTCCATTCCTTCCACAGCCATTCAACAGATTCCTTAAGGACCGCCTGTGTCCCAGCTCTGGAGTTACATTCCAGTGGGTGGGGCAGACAATAAATATGGAAACAAGACGGTTCTTGGGTGGTGTGAGAGGGATGCAGATGGAGAAAGGTGCAGAAGGGGTGGCCAGGAAAGGCTTCTCAGCGCGGGTGATATTTAAGGTGACCCTGAGGGACAATAATAACACTGCTACATGCTTAATATGGGCCATGCTCTGAGTACTTTTTATGCCTTAACTCCTCTCAACAGCCCTGGGAAACAAATACTTTTATTATTGTTCTTTACAGATAGAAAAACCAAGGCACAGAAAAGCTAAGCAACTTAGTCAAGGTCACACAGCTGGTACGCAGCAGAGCTGAGTTTCAGACCCAGGTGACTTGGCTCCTAAGCCCTCACTCTAAACTCACCCTGAAGCCCTTTGCCCTGTGCGCTACAAAGAAGGAACCAGAGTGTGATCAAATGAGTGTTTCAGGCAAAGGGGACCCTAGGGCAAAGGCACCAAGGCAGGGAAGAGCTAGTGAGAAAAGCCATGTGGCTAAAGCAGCGTGGGAAGGGGGGATGAGGAGTAGGGACAGGCACAGAAGGCCTTGATGGCCACGTTAAGGAGACAGCATTTTATTCTGAGGGCAATGGTAAGGCACCGGGGAGTTTGGGGCAGGGGAGCGACATGCTCCAATTCCTGTTTTTTTTTTTTTTTAAAGATTTTATTTATTTTGAGAGAGAATGAGAGAGAGAGAGCACGAGAGGGAAGAGGGTCAGAGGGAGAAGCAGACTCCCCGCCGAGCAGGGAGCCCTGTTTTTAAGAGCTCACTCCGGCTGCCATGTGAGGCGTGGACTGGAGACGGAGGGGTGCGGAAAAAGCAGGGAGCCCACTTACAAGAGCGTGACATCACCCCCCCCCCCCCCTGATACAAGACACTGAAGATGGAGACTGGGTGAAGACACTGGAGAGGGAGGGAAAAGGTCAGATTTGGGATGTGCCCAAAGAGAGAATGAGAGGACTTGCTGATGGGTTAGATGGGGTGGTGGGAGGAATCAAGTTGACTTTGACGGATTTGGCCTGAGCGAGTGGTAGACGGGGACGGGAAGGTTGGAGAGGGGGTAGGGCCATTGTGGAGTCTGCTGGCTAGCCATCAAAATCCTCCACCTATGGGGGCGAGGCCTGGAGTGCTCATATCGGAACTATATTATTCGAGAGAAAAGTTTATTTGTATAATCTTAAGGCCATCTTATTTGGGATTTTCTTTTAACAGCAGCTTAGCAGTACTCTAATACAGAAAGTGGTACCAGGAATGCAAAGCTGCCATGTATAAAAACCCTAAAATCTGTGGCACTGGCTTTGCCAACAGGTGGTAATACGGAAACCAGGAGTGGAGGATGGAAAGCTGGTGACCCTTGTTATGCTGTGACAAAACATTTATTAAAACCGTTACCTGTGATCATTCGGAAGATGGACCACATGCCTACTGAGCCTGTAATTCTTGAAAAATGGCTGGAAAGAGCTAAAAACAGTTGCACGTGTTGGCTGCTCAATGATGCTTTTAGCCAGATACCCCAGCAAAGAGACTGGCTAGTTTGCAAGAAGAGATGAGCAGAAGGGGAGATAATACAGAGACCCGCTATCATCAGTGCTGGAAAGCCCAGTTGGTTTTGTCCAAGGAGCAGAAGAAGATCAGACTGTCGTGGCTTGTTGTGGCAGACCGCCTCTCCCCAGTACCCCTCTCCAAGCTTGTCTGTGAGGCCATGCTGAGGGACCACCCTTGTAGCAAAGTATTATATTAGCCCTGTTGCCTTGTCATTCAAGTCTATTAGTTCAGATGTCTTTAGGATAACTTTCATTTAAAATGAGAGAGAGAGGAGTTGGGCAAGGCAAACAGACTTAATAACTCCAACAAGAAAGGAGCTCCAGGTGTGGCTGCTGGCACATGGAACTGAATAGAGGCAGACAAAGTTTTTGAAGGAATTATTATCATCAACAAAATTGCAAGGCTGGACTTCAAAAGCCCATGATCCTTCCAGCCCAAATACGTGTTCAAAGAAGACAGAATTTCAATACCCTGTAGGGTGGTAGTGGAGAGTAATAAACAAGAAGGAATTTGCCAAGGGCAAAGTCAAGGGCCAGGGAGACCCAGGGCCAGAACCTCCTCCACCACCAAAGCAGGGAAGTCCTCATGGTTCTAGAAGGGGGACTGTGGCAGAGACTGCTAGCGGTCCATCAGCTGGGTCACATTTCCCAGGTTCCCTTGCAGCTAAGACTGGGCCATGTGTCAAAAGAGTCATCTGTGCAATGGTTCGACTTCTGCCCCACTTGCGTGTGAGGAAATTCCCACCCTAGGCTTCCATGTTTTTCCCCATACCGACTGGAAGAGTGATTACCAGACAGACCCTGGATCCTTCATGTTATTCTGGATCCCTACAGGACCCTGTGGGGCAGAGCTATCTACCAACCTGAAACACTTCCCTTGGAGCTATTACATGAGAAGGCAGTCAACTGAATATTTTTAAACTACTCTAATTTCAGGTCTCTATTATATCGAACTCAGCATTGTCCTAACCAAGAGAGCCATTAGACATCTAAGGTCAAGCAGGACACTGGCAGAATTCAGACAAGAGGTGAGGGATGGAGTAGCACTTTGGGAATCTTCAGGGTACAGATGAGATAGTGGGTGAAAGCCCGCCTTCTAGAGAAAGAAGGGCTGCGAGCAGCTAACACTGGGGCCAGATGAGCCAATCAAGGACTGAGAGAAGCAATGTCTAACAGGGTTAAGAGGGAAACCAGGAGAACATGTCAGAATGCACGAGAAGGATGTTTCTAGAAGGAGGAAGATGATTAGAATGGCAGTCCAGAGACAGGTCCTAGCCTGGCTCTACTTGAACTTCCTGTGGGGCCTGGGGCAAGCCACTAATCTCTCTGCACTGTGGAGGTCTCAGCTCAAATGCTGCCCCATCAGAGCAGCCTTCCCTGGCCACCCTAGTCCAAGTGGTCCCTCGGTCACTCTGTACCACTAACTAAATGGCCTTCTTACCTGTTTGTTCCCCTCAACAGTGTTGTCTGCCTTCCCCACTGGCCTACCAGCCTCCGCCTCTCCCCAGTACCTGGGCCAGCTCTGGCACACAGCAGGAGCTCCGGGTTCCTCCCGAGTGGACCGCCACCCCGCTCCTCGGCTCCCCGTGACCTCTGCTCCCATAGCTCCTGGCAACACCATCTCCACCAGGGCTTCCTTCCCAACATGCACAGCTCCTCCAGACCCCAAGGGACTGGGGTGCTCTAGGTCGCTCCTCTCAGCTTCCCTTGACAGAAGACTCCCCATACCCGGCCCCAGGGAGGTGAAAGTAGGAAAAGAGGCCCTTGGCTCATAGCAACGGTCCCAGGTTAGCAACCAACTCGGCCCCCTTCCCTTCCACTCCACTGCAAGTCTGACCCTGCTCACAGGGGGCTTCCAGGAAGAGGAGAGGGGAGGGTAGAGAGATGGTCCTCCCTTCAAGGACGGCATTGAGCTCCCACAT